GTGTTAAGTGTTTCATGTTTTATCAACGTACGTGGGTTGTCTCGAAAGTTTTCGTCCATTTGCTTTGGTACTTTTTGGTAATTCGTAACTTTCGTATTTGTAACTAACTAATTATTTGTGCCAACTTTCACGTACGGGGTGTGTTCAAAAAGTAAGGTGACATTCAAGTTTTATCAGCCACTTCTCTAATAGTCATTCAACGATTTTTTTAACACCAGTTTTTTCAATTCTTTCAACGCTTTTGTACCAGTTATTTTGCTCAAAGTAGATTCACCATATGCCTTTGTCAATATCACAAGTGTTTTGCCGCACTGTATTCCATTTTTTACAAAAAAAGTTATGCAAATTCTTTGTTCCGTGTTTTTTTGACAGCCGAAAATCGCCGAGCGCACAAAACACGCCTAACGTAAAAGTAGACGTGCAAACTGGCTGAAATTGCGAATGTGTTAGGGACATGTGTACCAACATAAAAAATTACAAAAGCCACCTTACTTTTTGAACACTCCACGTAATAGTTCGATTAGGAATGAAAGGATTTTCTTTCACATTAATCCGTCACCTAACACTATTATTGAATAAATTGATTTTCATTATTATTTTGGGTATCACAAAGTCAAGAATTTAATGAAAAAGATTATTAATTTTTTTCATAGATGCAAAAAAACCAACAGCTCTTAAAACTTCCCAATTTTCTTTATTTAAAAGTATACTCTATATTCAAAGAAAAAAAAAATTGAGGTGATCCACTTTCGAAAAAACGTTATCAAACCAATGTTTAACCATTTCGGAAGCTTTGAGAGGTCCCCTGATTAAATAAAATCGATACGCAGGGATCGATTACAATCGATCGAGCGATACTCGTACTAGCATTAGCTAATAGCAGTTTTTAAAAATTCATTTCAACTCTGTATTAAAAATCTTCATCAAATAAATATAGCTATAGGTAGCTGGTTTCACGAAAATCCTCGCGATTAAACGCATTGTCTTGGATAATCGGCGACTTATGAGAGAACCCCCGTATAATAGCGCGAAGATCTGGACTACACAAATGGGGCATTCAAACAAATTATAATACGGACGGACGCGGCAAAAGGCGCGTAACGATCGAGCAGAGGAAGAAACAAACAGAATGCAGATGTCTGTGAAACGCTAAAGGAGTTGCGTTGTGAAAACCGATACGAGTGGTTTTTATGGGGGCCAAATGGCCTGGCGGCCGACGGAAACGGTTTGTGACAGTTTCCAGGAATTCAACACCCAGATATACGGACGTCGAGTGGAATGAAATTAAGATACAAATCTCTTCGTTTAGTGTTCTTGCCTTGCGTAATACCGAGCGATAAAGATCCACTTAAAAAGTGAAATTTCAAATAAATATTTCGAGCAAATCCTGGCTTTATTATTTTAATTCCGTAGCATCTAATTACGTTTATATTTCACCACTTATCATTGTTTTGTTTTAAAAAAAATGTATGTAACCAAGAAATAGTTGTCCCAAGTATATATTTCAAGTTGTCGAAAAAAGATCGTAATTAGAGTTGTTTAAACTAAATTAAATGCTGCGAAATCGACTTATATATCATTGGCTCGATTTTTGAGGAATATTTAATTGTTCTAATATAAAAAACGCACGCCTTCAAACCAACCGAGATATAGGGCGTTTTTCAGTTGTCGACGATTTTGAAAATTACGCCATTCTTTTGTGAATAAAATTAAAATAACTTTCGTATATTATATAGCAATTGTTATTGTTTATAATCCTAAAAAAATGCTCGTGTTGAACCTTTTTCAATGACCTATGTTTGTTGATATCTGCCATGGAAAATGGCGGATGAAGGATTTTTTGTTTAAAAGCAATTGTAATTATTATTAATATTATTATTATATATATTGTATAATATTGCGATTATAGCTGCCAACGTCAATGAAAGATATCAGGAGAAACTTCAAGATAATTTAACTAACCGGTTAATTTAAAAAAAGCCTTTTAAATAACTTAAACGAAAAATACAATAATGGCACTTAATCACGTCATATTTTTTGTAATTTTGATACGATTTAAATCGCAAAAAGCTTCACCAGTAAAACTATGTGCGACGGAACGCAAAATCTAATAAACAATAAATATTGACATTCGCACATACAAAAAATGCTTTACGATAAACAAACGGGTTCAACATTTGAATCATTCAGAAATATTTGTAAATAACAAAATTATTCTCAATTATGCTCAAAGTGGGCTAAAATTGAAAAAAAAAATTGCATATTCCGCGTAAAAAATTGCTCAGGAAAAGTTTTTTTAATGGAAATTATTTTTAAAAATAAGAAAGGTGGGTAGTGTTTCAGAAATATTTGTAAATAACAAAATTATCCTCAATGTGCTCAAAGTGGGGTAAAATTGAAAAAAAAATTGCATATTCCGCGTAAAAAAATTGTTCAGGAAAAGTTTTTTTAATGGAAATTATTTTTAAAAATAAGAAAGGTGGGTAGTGTTTAATTTGCAGATATCTCACGCACACCTTCTCCATATACCAAATTTTCGGTCTAACCAGTGAGTTTTACAAAAAATTTCCAAGCTGCAGAAAATTTGTCGATCTCTGACCTAATCCTTTGAAAAAATAATAAGTAGGTATACAAAAATGCTTCCTTACATTGTTTTTTTTATGTTTTAAAAAATTTGGTCCTAATTTCGCACGGGAACTGGGCCACAAATGCTTTGTAGCTAAGCTGTAAAAATATTGACGGCCATGCATCGAGTACCATGGAGATACAACGGCAGAACTATTTTACCTGACACTCTCCAGAATAGGTTCCTAAATTACAAAGTTTTTAGAAGTTTTAAAAGCATTGAGCAGATTTTGGTTAGTTTCCTTCTTTTTTTTCTGCAGCCCGACATCTGCACCACTCATTTAGTTAAAACCGTTCATCTGTGAAGGCACTATACGGGCAATTTTCGGCCATATTGGCCGATTTTAAACGAAACTTTCGCTGGAGACCATGTCGTCGTGTCATGGTCAAAGTTATTCAGAAAATTAAGGCTTAATGCGACCGCAATAGCGTATTCGACACATTTCGCTTTTAATTTTCATCGCGGTAACTCGCGTGGGTTTCTTTCTTCTTCAAGTTGTTTTTTTTTTGACGGAATAACGTCAGACGAATTCGTTTCCCATCGTTCGCCGACAGCCTGCGTCACGCCGATTCGCGTTAACTTTAAAAGCATGTTCGCTGCTCCGTCCGCGTTTACATAAATAATTATATTCGGCAAATAAAGTTTTATACGCATGGGACAATTGTTATTAATAATCGAACGAGACGGCCCAAGGTTGCCGAAAGTGTACGGAACCCGACGACCACCCGGGTCACTCGATTCAATAAAGTTCGCTAACGATATACCGTTTTCACAACCTTTAATGGCTTTGACTTCGGAATGAGTTTAAAACCCGCCTGTTGTAAAGCATTCTTTTTAGCGCGTGTACCACAATCCAGGGCCGTATTTAAGATGTTAGCCGACAAGAACGGTACCGTGCGAACTGTTGTATTTTAAGAGTAGGGAAATTTGGAGTTATTCAATTGTTTTTCAAGACTCAGTGTACCATTCTTATTGAGGTACCATATACATTTTATTACAATTTACTGAAAAATTGTTTCCCAATATTCCAACAAACAGTGTTGTTATGATGGACAACGTCAGCTACCATTCTGCACATGCGGAAAAAAACACCGAATTCATCATCGACTAAAGAAGTCATTCAAAATATTTTGCTTGAAAATATGTATTTTGAAAATTCCTACACAAACAAGCAATTATTGGAAGTCCTTAAGACGTTTGATAAGTATAGTGTGGACAGGTTGGCCGTGGAGTCGGGAATCAAAATTGTCCGTCTTCACTGCAGTTTTAATCCGATAGAACTGATATGGGAACAGGGGAAACCCAGTTTAAGAAGAAACAACACCTCGCTGAAATTTAGTTCTCTGGCAATAGAATTAATTAGAAGTGAAGTAGAAAAAATATCTGCTTCTAGTTGGAAAAAATGTCATGTCAATGTTTGCAGAAGTTATATAGCGGCCCTGTCTATGCTGACATGCTGCGCGAGATTTAAAATTTCGTTTTTCGGCTTTCAACAAACAATATGGCCACTGACAGATCGTCGATGTATGGATGCGGCATTTTTACGGCAGTATTTTCTCAAAATATGTCGAAATCGTATTTAATTTTCAGGCAAAAGGCAGTTAAGGTCTGGAAAAGCAGTGCTGAATTGCAGCACCCACCTCGGCATCAGTATAATTCTGTAATTAATTGGGCGTTTTTCGTGAAAGAACAATGTGCTGAAAGTACAAATTATACAAGTTTGTGAGCGCAAACAATGGTACAAGGCACAAACTATTCTGTCACAATATTAATTAGTTAGCCCGGCATCGCCAATTATGTTCGGATTTCAGAGATTGATGTTGCGTTCTTCTAAAAATTAATCAATTTTCCAGAAAATTTAGGGCAATGTAGCAACTCAGTCAGTTAGGAGGCCCAAAAGATTCCATATCTTCTCTACGAAAAAATCATCAATCAATTTTTACCGTAGTAGGGCCACTACATTATTTTATATGACAGAAGTCGACTAGTGCCAGAACTATTTAAAAATATATTATGAGTTCAGTGACGATAGTGATTATTTTGATGGAGAATAACTTTTTATTGATAAATTACTCGTTAATTTGCATTTATAATAAATATTTGAAACTCTAGACAAATCCATCAGCTAACCAAAGTTAAATACCGGATTATATCGTAAAAACGGTATATCGTCCGGCGAACTTTACGGGAATTGGACCGAATGCGTAGTGTGCGCGAATCGTCCACTACTTAATTGAAATGACGACGACGTAATTCGACACGCGAGTGCCATTTTACGCGAAATATGGCGCATTTCCGGGAACAAAAAGAACGTAGACGTGTGGGAAATCTGCGGCTTGTCCCCCCCACCTAAAAGAAAACCCACAAATCTTGCCTCGAAATCGTCACTCGCCTCGTATGACCAGGTGCACGAGATGCCCGCGTATTTCCTGACGCACCGTCCGACCTCCACGTCCTCGTGCGTCGTGTACAGGTTACTCAGGCAGTCCTCCAGGTACGGCGCGATCTTCCTCAACGTGCCGCGACTCATTATCACGCCGGGCCCGCCCATGCAAAAGTTCTCGTCGGTATCCAAACTCAGCCGGTCCATTTCTTCGCTTTTCCCTTTCCCCGTCTGACCGATGAACAGGGGTTTCTTGGAGTCGACGCCGCGAAGCAGTTCCTCCAGCTTGTCGTATCTCACGTAGACGTCGTCGTCGGCTCGCATGAACCATTCGTATTTGTCGACGTAGTGCTCGTACATGTACTTGAGCATCTTGAACGACTTCCTCTGCGGAGGGTAGCTGTCGTCTACGTCACGCAACGCGACCAGGGGTATTTTGTCGGAGTAGGAAGTCTCGGAGGAGAAGAACACTAGGCGTCCGGGCACGTGGCGGCCCCAGGTGTCGTAGACGGCTCGGGCGCGCGTGTCCAGGTACTTTTTCGCGGTCATGACGCCTACGAAGATGAGGTTTTGGTTAGGCGGCGGTTCCGGAGGCTCTGGAGAAGAAACGCGACGCGCCACCCTGGCGGTACCGCACGTGTTACCGGTCGACGCGAAGAAGTAAGAGAACGCGAGTCCGATCGCGACACCCAAGAGGATTTTGAAGAGCTTCTTGGGTTTGGCCATGGCGTCCGGTCAAATACATGGTTCGGATCGGCCGTCGGCACTGCTATTTGAGGGAAACATGGCCGGTGCCGCGGGACATAGTATCGTTGGCACTATAGAAACACTAGACGCGTCAACTGATGTGGTACCCGCGAACCGGCTTTTACGTACGATACCAGACGATACCGTGATCGGCTCGAACTTGCGCCGATCAGTCCGTTTACCGTACCAAATACGCACTGCTAGCTAGGTCGTACGACCGGCGTCTGCCGTGGGATAAATATACGGGTTTTTGTCGGACGATTTGCCTGATCGGCGAGCCTACTATCGATCGACCAGGCCGAAGCAGACGCCAAATAAAACAAAAAGTTAGATCTTCGCAGAGATGTATATAACTTGAATATAAGATGTAGATGAACTATAACACCAACGTGTCACGCAATGGTGTCTCGAAAAGCGTAAAACAAAAATGTCCCTAGGAAGTCTCAAAAGCCAGCTTTCACAAAGTTTTGCTACTCCCGTTTGTAAAATACCTAATTACATACCGATCTAGCGTGCGGGAAGCGTTACTTTAGCAAGTCAGTTTCTGATCCGAGTCACCTCGGACATTTTCGGGATTTTACCGCACAGATTTGGGAGCAATGTACAATATACATTACTGTCGTTTTGTTCTGGCTAGTCCGCTTGTAATACTTTTTAATCTGTGTCTGAGAAACCAAGCCCTTCCTAGTATATGGAAATTTGTCTAAAATTATTTCCGTACACAAAAAGGACTTCAGGTCGCAAATCGCAAACTATAGGGCTGCAATTTCTGTAAAGTTTTGAAATTTCATGTTGCTAAGAACCAAATAGTCACCTAACAACATGTTTTTTTTAATGGAAGATCCACCATTTAACGACTATATATCTCAGTATAATTCTGAAGATGTTGATGAAGGTTCCCATATGGACGTCATATACCTTGATTTTTTAAAAGCGTTTGATCGACTAGCCACAAAATTCCAGTCCACAGTCTCGCTTGTTAATTTGTTTTCTTCATACTTGTCTAACCGCACTCAGTACGTCCATCTCAATGGTCATACTTCCGATGAATTGCTTCCTCGGGCGCTCCTCCAGGCTCAATATTGAGGATATTATTATTCAACATTTTCGTTGATGACATTGATGTCAGTTTTTGATATATACGGTCGACGTGAGCATTGTCTTACTCAACAACCTTAGTTTGTAGCAAATCAACAATTGGTCTCTAAATAATAACTTGCTACTTAATACAGCCAACTGTAATGTAGTCTCTTTTACCACCATAAGTGGATGGCTCATCAAATCAACGTTTTGAATGCTCAAAAAGTTCTTTGTTTGCACTGATCGATGAGAGTTGTGGAGAGTGATGCGTCTTCGGCGATTGGTTTTTCTAATTTCTTCGAAGACTTTCGGCAAACAAATGGTTGTGTACCATACAGAATTGACTGTTTTACCTTTCACCAAAGAAACAGTTGCGACGTGGCCAGTTTTCCTTAAAAAAACATTTGTTTCGAGGTTCTTCGCTCACGAACAACTTTTGTGGGCAAATATTCATGAAAAATTGTATGTGTGCTGCTCCCACTAATGCCCAAAGATACCTCAATCTCATGGTAAGTCACATGACGATCCTGCAAAATCAATTTCCGCGCTGCATCAATGTTTTGTTAGACAACCACCGATTTTAGACGACCTTAACGAAATTCATCCTTAAGAAAACTACGACCACAACTGAAGTCCGAAAACCAGCGATAAACGGTAATCCTAGATGATGCTTTAACTTCAAAAGTCGAATTAAGTTCATCGGTGCATTGTTGTTGAGTTAGTCCACGTCTAAAGTTGTAAAAAATTATTGCACGATGAAGTTACATTTATACCGACACAATTTTTTAAATTTATCATAGAAAACAAAAACAACACTGTTTCGCCAAAACATAACTGAATAAACCTAACCTCAAAATGTCAAACTTCCCTATACAAAATGTTAGTCGCCAGATGGCAGGACTGGTTTATGAAAGTCCCGAAATATAAAGGCAGTCCTCGTATAAATTCGACGGAGCATAGCCCCATAAGGCTTTTCGCTTATTAACTCTAGACATAGTAACACATTCTTTGTGCCCACACCAAGAACAAATATTTTAAAACTTTCACCTATTTTCTCAATGTGCTCCAAATACGATGCCCGACACGACTTTTTTCGCAATGTTTATGTGAGGCTAGACTTTCAGTGCGTCTGCAACTGATTAATACTTTGTACTCGGCTTGAGTATGGATTATTATTATTAATATCGAAAATGTACCAAATTGACGTTAAAGCTAAGAAGTAATTGGCCAAAGTAATAACAACATGAAATCGAAAGTAGAAAAAATTAAGGCAGCGTTCAATATTCGTATATTCCTCAGAGAGCTATTCGTAGCTTGACGGTTTCCTATCTATCTAAATACCAGTTTCCCCCGAAAATATTTATATGATTTAAGCAAAAAAAAAAACACAAAATGCACAGTACATAATTTAATACGATTGATTATTATTTATTAAATTAATAAAATTAATATATTTCGCTAAATGGATGTTGTATTTGTCAAATTGTCTTATAAGTTGGTATTTGTGATATTATTATTATTATTATAAGAACGTCATAAATATCTTAACTTTTGAGGGAAAGTTTTCAGATTGTTTTTCTAAAAATACCTTTAGTAAGTGACGGCGCGGTATAGATGGACAGATGGTCGACATTTTCTCATCTGAATTAAAACTTTATAGGGTCTTCTGTTTAGAGAAATAGGTTAAAACCGTTTTAAATCAACGGCTCAATGCTTGACGTTTTCTAGGTTCCGGCCGCATCCGTGCATAGTAGGTACCCCGTCTATAGCCGAAAATTGTTGCCCGGCAAGACTTTTCGGTCGGCAACGCGGGCAATACTTTTAATCTAACCGTTCGGATCATGACGACCCATTGTTCGTCGATCGTCTGCCTTTTTTTCGTCAGCGGCACTCGGGGCGGTCAATCATTGACCGTCAAAGTCGCGAGATTGATTCATCGGCATCGGATATAATAGGGCTTTTGTTCGTTTTATTTTTGAAGCGCTTATAATAGGCGAGCCGTATTTTTTTAAAACAATTTTATCGCTTTATTTGTTCCAGATAAGGCGACGTTGGACCACACGCCTTTACCAGGTCTAAGCAGTACTGCCTGCGACATCTGTCGATGAAAGCTTCAACGCGAATGAGCACGGATGAGGCATACTACGCTCGACGTGGCTACTGCTTACTAGATGTGTCGGAAATTACCGCAAAGTTGTTTGACAGTGATGATTGGGTAAAATTCTTTTCTTTTAAATTACGTTGCCGTCGCTGTACGCACTCATGATGCAAGTTGTTTCCCTAAGTTAGCGAATATTGAAACTCATACTAACGTTTACACCGACATCTTTAGGAAAATGTTTTAAGGTGACCGAAGCAGACGAAGAAAACTACCCATAGTACTGCTCCCATTCGCTGCGAGAGTCGTTTCCTTTGCGCTACAATGTGATTGCAAACTCTTTCAAAACTCCACACAGCGGATCATTTAAAAGTTCCAGACTTATTCGCGGCAGAGCTCGAGCGTTTTTGATATATTTCAGGACGCGTATGCGCTCTTGCTTCACCATTTGTTTTTATCTTTATGATCTGCGTCTAACCTCAAAGTTCTCGCGAGTCAAAACATCGCTGTCTATTACGTCGTAAGTGCGGTGTGGATAATTAAAAGCGTCAGCATCGATGGGAAAATCTAAGAAAACAGCAATTCCGGACAGGTGTGTATTTAAGGTGACTTTCGAGACTGTTCGTATCGAATTTCGTCAGTTGTTCCACTTTGGGTGCTTTTACGTAATAGAAACGTTGCTTTCTTCCAACATATAACCAAAGTTTGTGGTTTTTTGAATTTCGTTGGGGCTTTGTTCAGGCTTCCACTGAGTGTTCAGATCGATATCTTTGGAAGATTAGAAACAGGTATACCTGGCAAAACGAATCCTTTAGTTGATTAACAACTGATCATTGGTTACACGCCGAAGCTTTCGCTATTCGCCGGTAGGTCGCGCGCTCGTAGAGAAATCTTTAATTTTGTACCTGGTCCTGCCGGCGTTCGCGGTTTTTTGTGCTTTCCCTGGAATTCTTTTGGAAATTCGAAATTTGTGTTTTTAAAAATAAAAATTGATTTGTTAATTAGTAAATTGGTAAGTTTTTATTCATTTTTCAGATGGTCTAATTACAAACCGATTGGGCAGCGCATACCCGGTACCAAAATAGTTGCATTCAAAGTGCCTTTAGCAGAGGTGAGTGACACTCGCGAAATACTTATAGTAAATTTGATAACTGTTACGCCTGGAAACAAGCATTTTTCTCCTATCTTAAAAAGCTGGATATTCCAAATGGAGTGGGCCGGGGTGTAGCCAAAGGGGCGGGGCGTGGTTAGAAGGAAAACCACACCCAAATGGGAGGAATTATGACCGAATTAAAAGCTAGACAGATTTTACTACTTGTCGTTGCCCGTCTACGACAAAAATAATTTTAACCGGCCCTGTCCGCGTATTGTCATTTGAAAACGTGTTGTGATCCGTACGCGATTTATGACGGTATAATGTGAACTAAACTATACCGAGTCGGGTATATCATGGCGGCGTGGTACGGAGAGGGGTTCCGACCGGGTTGTACACTTTCTCGGCAAAGTGTTCTGGCTGCACGGTATAAATGATGGCCAATAAAAGAGACAGTTAATTAAAGGGAGGTACGCGTGGATGATGAAGAACCCGTCCAAGGCGTGCCCAAGTTGCGGGCCGTCTCCACGCTTTACGCGGCAGACTAATTTTGATATTTTTTACATTGAAAATTTTGAAAAACAAAAGAAGAACTATCTGGCCGTCTAGGGCCGAAAAAAAGCCCTTTGTTTTTTTTGTGGCCCGATATTTTTTTCGATCCTTACGTGTCGAACATAACCCGATCTGGGTTCAGGCCCGTAAAAGTGTTCGTGTTCGGTTCTGGAGTCGAATTTCGATTTAAATTTTGGCGCACCAGAAAATGGGTCGTAATTTTAGTTGCTCTCCGAACCCGAAACGCTTTAAATAACCATTAATATACCGGGCGCACATAATGTGGACGATATATCGGCCAAAAATCCAGCGCCTATAATCCAAATAATTAAAATTGGTAAAATGAGGAAAAAGGTGCATAGATAATGAATAACCACGTCCTTTCAAAGCATTTTGAAAAACAAAATAACCTTTTTACTTTTATTTCACCCGACAGTTTAATTTGTTAGGTAGTAAGAAAAACACTGCAAAAATTTGGAAAAATAATTTGTTACCTAAGTCACAATAAATTAAAAAATAGTACACATACCTACATGGCGCGCATAATCAATACACTGTTTGAAGACAGAGTTTTTCTAAAAGTTCTGTGTCTCGGGTCCTCAACAATACCAATTATTCTCTCAGAAATACCCGAATTTTCAAAAAAACGCCCACCTCTTATTCCAGATTTAGGCTCTAGCGACTAGCAAACCCAAATCTTTTAAAAATAAATCCAGATTTTTTTAAATTTTGCGCGACTTTTTCTGAACCTACTGAACCTGAATGAGACTCATCAGATGATGAAACCCTGGAAATCAGAAGATGACGTATGCTTTCTGCAAACGACAGGCTTGCTTCTACTGTCAAATGGAAGAAAGGTCAGATTGAGTACACGCACACACCTATATCTGATGAATTTAGGTCATGTGAGAAACAAAAAAATTCGCCTTCTGGAAAAACTCCGCTTGAACTATTTGTTTTTTGATGACGAAGTGACTGATTTGATTTAAAATATTACATTGCCTTCCGACTTTTCAAATCAAGGTCACCTCATGATTGTTCATGCCAATAAAGCCCGAAGGAGATGTAAAATCTGCCACAGCTACACAATTTACGTTTGTAATAAGTTTAATGTGCATTTACATATTTCTTACATACTTATACTTACATACATACTTACATACATACTTACATACATACTTACATACATACTTACATACATACTTACATACATACTTACATACATACTTACATACATACTTACATACATACTTACATACATACTTACATAATACTTACATACATACTTACATACATACATACTTCTGCTTTGTAAAATATCATAAAAAAAGGAAACCGGGTGTTACCAGTGGTGCGCTCACGCACCATGAAATATTATGCGTTTTTTTGTATCCAATCAGGTTCTATTTGGAAAACAATCTACTTTTAGTTGTTTTCTATCGGATTTGAACTTTCTTTTGCAGATTTATGTTTTTTAATGTTTAATTAATGTTTTTCCGCACCAATATTTTTTTGTATGTTTCGAGTTTTTATTATTTTTTTGACACATGTAATGTATTCTTAAGTGCAACAAAATAAATAATTTTAGAGTAAAAAAGTATTTTTGTATTTTTCTTATGCTTGGGATTCTATTCATAACAAATTTGCCAAAGAGAATTTTAGTACTGTTCATTAATTCTACGAAGAGGTGTAACATATAATTACGATCGAACTTCACTTTCCAGATAAGTTCGTTGATCATCGGATTGTATGTTACACCTCTTCTTTGAAATCGATATACGTAGACTTTTTAAGGCAACTCAGCAAATTTTTTTTATTTGGCTATACAAGAAAATCCAAACGTTATGAAAAATAAATTCTGGAATTTCATAAAGTCAAGGACACAACTAGGGTGCTGTCATATCTTGGTTTACTTAGCCTTGGACTATTATAAACACTTTTAAAAAACCTAGTTAAATTTGTATTGGTAATTAATTCTCATAGGACTTGCCTTTTAAAATGAACAGTAGGTGAGAAGGAACAACAATCCACTCCCGTCCTTGATAGGAAAATATCCAGCGAATCTTCTGGAATATTCCTCAGGTCACCTTCCACAAAAGGTGAGCTTTAATGTCAATAGAAGGAAGTAGTTGTTTGGCTAAGTATATTGGCTAACCCTATCCCATTAAAACTCTTAGCAACAAGCAAAACGTCGAAAAGTCGATTTTTGGGAGGCCAAATTTCCTTATTACTTTCGAAAATTTTATATCTCGGTAATGGTAGGTTCTATGGGATCGCCATTGGCACAGAAATGATCACCGTCGAAAAACATATTTTTTTTTGTCTGTCCATTCTCCGTTCTCGTCTTTTGGAGTTGGAGCTACAAAATTAAAATTTGCTTCCTTTTTAACCTTCCACGAGGCACATAAGCTGGGAGGTCGCGAAAAATAAATAAATCTCGCGTGCAAGGGTCTACAGAAAACATCATTTTTCAAAAACTATTTACGAGACCTAAAAAATTCTTGAACCAGAAGAAGGACAGGATACGACTCTATAAACTTTTATTCTTGACAATTTTTTAAAAATATACAGGGTGCACCGCAAATTCAAAAGAACTAAAAAATGGGTTCCCCCTATTATTGCAAATTGGTTATAACTATGATTCAGATCTCGCATAGACAGCAAAAACTTTTGTATTTAAGGTTTTCACCTATTGTACAGGGTGCTCCCGATATTGCGTGCTAAACGAAAAAGGAGTTAAGTGACCTAAATTTGTAGATATCAACTTTTATGGTAATTTTATCAGTGCAATAACATTTATTTCGGCAGTTTTTTCGATTATATACAGCGTTTTCAAAGTATAGGCAAAAAAGACCTAGAAAATTGTTCTTTTACAGAGTAAATTATTAGCCGCAAATCAAAAATCGTAAAAAATATGGGTAATTGGTTCAAACGGTGTCATAGGCCGCATCAAGAACTACAATTTTTGGATTTTTGCAAATCTTATTGAAATCGTTATTTCGGGGGCTGTCAAGACGCGATGACGTCTTTGATTGTTGCGGCGCACTGAAAAAACTTATTTTCTCGAAAACCATGTACTATTTTCAAAAAAATTCTTGAACCAGGAAACGTGGCTATAACTTCTACTTCGAACAATGATTGTATCGTATACAGGGTGTGTCGTTTATGGGCAAAATCTAAAATATCATAAAAATTTCCGTTTTTGTGGGTAAATTATTGTCGACAAATGAAAATCCGTTAAAGATGGGATAATTGTATTTGAACAGTATTGTAAACCTTGTCGTGAGAGATTCCGTCAATTATACTGGGCGCGAGATATTTGGAAAAATATCATTCGACAACCCTATTATTTGTACAAATTTTAATATTTACCGATGTTTGCTGTAACTTTGAAGTTCGACGAGATGTGAAAGACATTTTATACAGGGTGCATGCACAATTAAATTATATCGATTTTGCGAAAGTTCCATAGTGGTCCGCAGGAGCACGATAGCAAAACAAGAAACTGCGAAGCGGTTTTCACGCTACACACTACGAACTTGCCCCGCCCACCGTCGATTTTTCGAAAGTAATCTTGTTAATTAATTAATTAATCATCAAAATTCAAATTCCTGGATTTCTTATCCGCTTGAAAATTATCCTTTATTCGCAACCCAAACTAATCAAAGTGTTGTCAATTACTTGAACATTTCTTAAGCAGAAATCGTAACTAATACCAAGTAGTTAAAAGTCATCCAGATAAATTATTCAGAGATGACCCTTGACGAAAAACCGCTAGTTTCATTAATTTTGTAAAGACCCGTGGGGCTGTGCATAAAGAGGCAGAATCAAAATAAAATCTTAACAATTTCTTTTGACTTTCAATTATTGGGACTAGAAAGTAAGCTTCTTTCAAGTCCAAAGTGGCCATAAAGGACTTCCTAGTTAAGAGTGTTTCAACTAACCGCTGCTGTATAGATTTTTAAAATTTACTTACCACTAGGGAGAGGCCCCATTGCATCTTTTTGCAACATTTTTAGATCAATAACATGAGAAATGGCAACTTTGAACTGGCATACTTTTAAAAGTAAGCACGAATCGATTCCGTCCCTGTACGAACGTCGTCGCCGCCGGTGCTTTTACCTGTCGGTCGTCTCGTGGGGTGGCGACAAAATCTTCTGCCCGGACCTTAAAGGGCAATGTTTTAATTTTTTATTGTCACTTCGTGTGTTTTCTCGGTTTGACAAATAAGCCCGACGCGTTTACGTAACATTTCGCGTTTGTCTGTATGGAGCGCGTTCGGACCAGACCTCGTCTATACAGGGTGTTTTGGGACGCGCGAACGTATTTAAGAAAAAAATTAAATCGTTTAAATAAAAAGCACAGTATAGCGGTGAAACATTATAAATGTACCTATATCTAACGTTTTTATTTAAGATTTCAGAAAAACTGTTTTATACAAAAGTGATTTATGTACAAAATTTTCT